CTAGCTGTTTGACCGCCGTGTCAATAGTCCTCCCCTCTGAACATTTCATTTTTCAAAACTCTAATTGCCTAGGTGTCCCGCCGTGGACGAAAATACCCTTTACCCTAGCATTAGGTTAAGGAGTCGCCGCGCTCCACTTTAGGTTTCCTGCCGTGGAATACCTAGTTTAACCCTAATTTCAATTCAAATTTCAACGTAGAAATAGGAATCGCCGCACTCCACGTAAGCGCTTCCCTAAGAAACACTTACTCCCCATTGAAACCTTGACCATACTCAAGAAGTTTCTAACCTCCCTTTTAAGGGGAACTATGATTACTCTGATTCCATTCCCTATCCAGGATACGTAGGCATAAGATGCGAATCTTGCAGAGTAAACTTAAGACTAACCCTTAGGTCTTCCTGTCACTCTTAACCCTTATCATATACCCTCAAGCAAATAATAAAGCAAAAATAGTAAATGTAAACAAAAGGTTCCTGTAGAGTACTACAGAAGTTTAGGGTGCTAATACCTTCCCTAAGCTTAACCAACCCATTACCTAGATCTCTCCCCGCATTGTTTATGATGCAAATTTATGTTTTCCTTCTTTTGACCTTTTCCTTTGGATAAATCAAAGATCGGCTGTGAATCAAAGATGTGATTCAAACTAATTAATAGTTTGATATCCTATTCTCACCGCAACAGAAAATGGCGACTTCACTGGAGATTTTCTAACTTTTGAGGGTTACCCCTACTTTGTTTATTTTTTTTTTGCTATTTGCTTCATTATTTGCTTATTTGTATATAATATTATTGTACCTTGCTTGGGGTATCTATTTTTGTTGTGAGATAATTCCTACACTCGAACTTGAGTGACATTATTATAGAAAGGTGATATATTCAACGAGGCTTATAGGGAGTGAGTCCCGACCATGCTGACTTGAGAATCACCGCTCAGTTGAGACCCTTTTGAAAATGGTTCGGTTGAACGAGTAGTCTTATAAACTTTTACTATTGTCAATGGAGTCTGTGATACTGGGGACCGTAGTACCTTAACACCACCTTGCCCTTATATAGGACGTAGTGCAAGAATTATGAGGGAGTAGTCCCAAAATAGTTGCTACACGATGCTACACTCAAAAGAGGTTCTCTTAAGAATATTATTAACCACCGAGTCAGTCGGGAAATTGATAATATCCGAAGGATGAACTGATGACTTTGGGCACTTCTTTAGAACCCTTGTTCTGCAGGTACAACTAACCTTAGTACATACCTTATGGGGATGGATAGACCTTGACTCCGTTCATATACCTTTAACCTAGGACTTTGTATATATGCATTGCATCCATAAAATATCACATTGCATTACATTTCATGGAATTCATTTTTACTTATGAACATTGCAGGATACCATGGATTACAGTAGGAAAAATACTTTGAAATATTCTTTTAAGAGTCTTAAGTTGGATGACCTAAGGAAGTTAGGAGATTTAGTTCAAGATCAAGAAGCATTCAAAAACGAGTATGGAAAGTCATTATCTTTATTGAAACTTCAAGTAGACAAATGACTTCTCTCTGCTTCGTTACAGTTCTAGGATCCAGATTATCTTTGCTTTACATTCCCAGATTATCAGCTCTTTGCCTACCTTACAAGAGTACACTCACTTGGTTGAAGAATCTCCTTTCCCTCTCTTGGAGAAGTACCATAAAGAGCAAGACATTGCTAAAGCCATATGTTTGAAGTTATCCGACATCAAGGGCAATATGATCACCAACAGTTGTGGAGACTTTTCCAACGTACCCTTACTTGGTTTTAATGGAGGATTTATTTTCCTCTGACTCTCGATCTACCTTTTGAAGATAGACTCATCCTCAAAAAAGGTCCAGCTAGAAGATCAAAGAAGAAGCTTCCTTAGGGTCTTATTAGCTTTTATTTAGCTATTTTGTTAAGACTTTCTTTTAAGAATATTATTTGTAATTAATTTTCAAAATTAATGAATAAAATTTCTTTGGTATCCCGCGATATTCATAAATATTTGAATTCCATGAGATCATTTCATCTGCATTTTGCATCTTAACATCATATTTTTTGCATTACATTTGTCTCCCAGTTTCCCATTCTCGGTTCTCTCGCCTTCCAGTTCCGTCACCCTGGGTCCTCCGCATCAGTACAACACTAGAGCCCAAGCTCGAAAAAGGATGGAAGAATAAAATCAAGAGATCGATCGTGTCAGCCATGAACTCGAAGATCTTCGAGGAAGTGTGGGGAAGATTATGGAGATGCTACAAGCTCTTAGCGCAAAGATGGACACTTAGCCTACTGTTGTTTCTGATACTACCAATACTGTTGTAGGTCCTCAACCAGCTGTTACCGTTGAGAACATACCTCCTCATGGTCTTCAACCCAGTTTAGTGCACCTTATTATTGCTCAACCAGTTCAACAAGTTGGTCCTCCAGAGTTTGAAACTCCGAGCGTCGACCATCATAAAGGACCTATGCGCCGGAGGAGTCCCTCGAGCAGATATAACCGCAAAATGGCTGCTCATCAACCGTGGTGACGTCTGCCTAATTATGTTCAAGGTTATCCCGTTCAGTATGCTCAACAACCCTATGTAGCTACTGTCGCACCTCCTTCAATCAACAGTTTCCTACATATCAGCCTGTGCAACTGGCTCCGGTTTATCAATAACCTCCTGGTTATCAGCCTGTACAAACTTCTGTCAACTATCAACGAGTGCCCAACGCTCCTGCTTATCAACAGCCGAGGAATCAGGCACCTCGTCAAAATGCTCCGAATAAGAGACAATACAAGCCTTGTCCCCCGACTCCGATGACCAGTGTTTTAAAAACTGGACCGGTCATCGAACCGGTGAGGGTATTGGGTCACTGGTTTATCGGTCGAACCACTGAGTCACTGGTCGAACTGCATGACTAAACCGGATTAAACCGGATAACTCGGTTGAATAGACCTGTCATTATATCAATATAAAACCGGTCGAACTAGATGACTCAGTTTCTAAAAAAATATAACTAGTACTTAAATTTTTTGAAAATAAATTCACAAGTTCATAATTTAAATTCAAATTTAAATTCATAAGTTCATAAATAAATTCACAAGTTCATAATTTAAATTCAAATTTTAAACAAATGTATCACACATAACAAAATAATACAAAATTACAAAATTTAATTGCAACATATTATAATTGAATAATTTATAACAAAATAACTCCAATGTCTACTTAAGTTTAGTTCCAAGGAGGTAAAATTATTTCAATATTGGGATCTCCTTCTTCAATATCAAAACCATCTGCAGTAAAATCAATCGCATTTGCAACATTTTCTCCATCAATGATATTATTATTTTGGTTGTTTTCTCCAGAATTAAGTTGTTCATCATCCTCGACATCAACCTCATCCAAATTTAATTGATCTGTAACAACAAATAAATTAGAGAGTTAAACAATTAACATATAGTAATAAATTAAAGTAACAAAATTGTTATCAGAATAACTAATATCATACCAATATCATTTGACATAGGTTGAATTGTCATACTATCAAGATCTCTGTGTAGTGCTTCCACCTCCTCAATGGTTAATAACGGTGGTGAATCCTCCAACACCCAATCAGAATGATCACCAAGTATTTCAAAATTGATAGGATCATAATTTTGTTTCTTCTTGTTTCTATAAATCATTAACGATAATGTCAAACATAAAACTCATTAATATTCTTAAAAACTAGTAGTATATAACTAACTTAACTAGCTTAAAAATTAATAATATAAATCATTAACAAATTAACAAGTTTCTACATATCAAGCAATAGCTAGTAGTATAAACAATATCATAAGCAAACAACATATAGTTGTTTCCAATTTTCATCATTCATAGTCATAAACAACATAAGTATATAAGCAATAGCATATAAAGCATAATAAGTGCAATAGCTGTTTTGTAGTCCTAGGTTGTAACGAACAAAGACAAGATCATTAAGCTTTTGATGCTCCAACCTATTTCTTTTTTTTTTGAATAAATGTGCTCAAATACACTCCAATTTCGTTCACAACCAGATGCACTACAAGTTTGGCTTAAAATCTAAATAGCCAACTTTTGCAAATTGGGCGCTTTGGTTCCATAAGTTTCCCACCATTGATCTAGAATAGTGCATGTGAAAAAATTAGAAAACATTTTAAAATTCATATTGAAATTATAATAAAATGCATAAAGTTTATCATCTAATTTTACCTGGCAAAACTTCATCTCGATTTTCTACGGCCGTTGTCCTTCCAAAACTACCTTCATAATTTTTGAATAAACTCATCTCAACAGTTAATTTAGTTCGCAAGTCCTTACTATCATAAGCATACTTTTCAATGATATCCAAAAGACCTTGGGTAGTAGACTTGTGTTTTTCATATTCTTGACTGAATCTACAAGACGGATTTAACTAATAACCAGCAGCATGAAGATTTTTGCGAAGTTGTACATCCCAACAATTATCTAAGATCCTCAAATAAGGCTTTACTTTCAGCTTATTTCTTCTAAAACTCTTCTCAATCTTCTCTCTTGCTTTATACATAGCTCGATAGAGATATCCCATAGCCGGTTTATCTTCACTATCAACAAGGCGCAACACACGTACAAGAGGTTCTGTAATTTTCACTATGTCAACACATGTAGACCAAAAGCTTGAGTCTAGTACTTGTTCCACAAATTGCTTTGCCTTGACATCTTTGGAATAAGTTGTAGTTGTCCACTCTTTGGAAGTTACCATGGCTCTTAGTGCATCTTTATGAGACAAGATACTTTGCAATGCAATAAAATTAGTAGCAAAGCGGGTTGGAGCAGGACGAAGTATTTCTCTTCCACCTGTATTTTGTCTCATCAAATACAATGTAAAACAATGATTATATATGTATTTGGTAATTTTTGAAGCATGTGACACTGCCCCACTTACTTCCTCTAATTTCCCCATGTCTTGCAACATCAAATTAATACACTGTGTTGCACAAGGAGACTAATACAACTTAGAAAACTCCTTTTCCAACAACTTTCTAGCAGCAACATAATTTGCAGCATTATCTGTAACGATTTGAACAACGTTTTCTGGGCCAACATACAACACTACTTCCTTGAAAAGCTTAAACAATGTGTCTGCAGTTTTAGAAGCACCAGAGGCATCAACAGACTTTATGAAAACAGTTCCTTTGGGGCAATAAACTAAAAAGTTGATAAGAGTTCTTCTACAACGATCAGTCCACCCATCTGCCATAAGAGTACAACCTGTATCCTTCCAAATAGAACGATATTGCTTTAGCTGTATCTTCACGTCATCAACCCACTTATTTAACAAATTACCATGAAGAGCATGCATAGTAGAAACTTTGTATCCATCACCCATGCAACAAAGAGCATCAACTGCTGGTTGAAAATAAGGCAAATTTGCAGCATTGAAAGGAATAGACGCATCAATAAACCACTTCGCAATAGCAAAATCACACTTTTCTACCACTTCTTTAGTAACCAGAAGCAATCAAAAATTTGAACCTGATAAAATCCCGGCTGCCAAGCAGGCAGATTCATTTTTTTAATAACCAATAACAGAGAGCACTAAATGATATGTTTAATGAAAAAATGTTTCAATAATAGGCTTTTATGCTTTAATTATTTAATCTATTTTGTATTCCCTAGCTTGAACTATCTGTATTCCTTAACATGAATTTTCACAATACTATTGAACATTGACAGAGCACCATTCCCTTTGTTCTCTCTTATTTTCTTCTCAATGTTATAGTTGAGAAAATAGAATGGATTAATGGAAGAAACAAACGAGAATATCTAATAAGAACCTGCAATACACCCACTAATGAAACAGTCAAGGAGAAACACCACAGATTTCCCAATATGGCTCCCAAACTCAATGTTCAAATGAAAAAAGCAAAAGCTCATCATCAGAACCAAGTCACTGGTGGTGCTATAAACCATTAGATGTAATTAACAATCTAGGTGATATCTAATTGCATTCAATGGTTTTAGATGGGAGCCTCTGGCTGAATTACTGTAGGATCTATGTAGGATCTATCTTTTAACTATAACAACCATCCAATTTTCTCATATTACACATACTTTAACAACAACTCTTACAAATTATATTTTGCCTACCTAAGATGACACAAGGGTGCATGTGACTGAGAGACAAACTATAGAACAAATATGTAACTAGTTGAGAATCTTTACTTAGAATCATTACTTATTGCAACATGTAGAAATTTGAATTGAACCCAATTCAACAGAACAATTCAACAGAAAAGCAATTAGAATCTTTACTTAGAATCAATACTAAGTATATTTTTTACGAAATCAATTCAACAGAACAATTTCATTAGAAGATTAATATCAAACATGTAGAGGAGCATTGAACCCTAATTTCAACGGAACAAAGTTAAATGAAAACAGAGAGGAGCATTGAACCTGGAAATTTGAAACGATACAGAAACCGGCGAGTCGTTGGTATATTGCGGCGGAGAGAACAAACTTGCGTGGTGGTGGAGAAGAGAAAGACGAATGGTGGAGAAGAGAAAGACCTGGAAATTTTTTTAAAATAATTTTTATAACTTTTGCATTTAAATTTTAATTAAAAAATACAAAATGCATTAGAACCGGTCCAACCCTAAAACCGGTTTTTCCCAGTCCAACCCGGTTTTCCCCGGGTTTCCCCCGAATTGGTGACAAAGACGATCGAACTAGTAAACCAGGCCGGTTCCCAGTCGCACCGGTCCGACCGGCCGGTCCGATCCGGTTTTTAAAACACTCCCGATGACGTTCACCGAGTTGTACCCGTTCTTAGTGCAACGAGGTCTGATTACCACAAGAGCTTTGAGTCCACCTCCTAATCCTTTGCCTGCCAACCACAATGTCGCCGCTCATTGTTTATTTCATGAGGGTGCGCCCGACCATGATTTGGAAGATTTTTATGCTCTCAAGTACATTGTTAGAGATTTGTTAGAAGAGAAGATTTTGGCTTTTGATGATCCTCCGCCGAAGATCAGAACTCCTCTCCGGATTTTCTGTAACACCCATTTTAATTATTTAGTCATTTTATTATTATTTTAAATATTATATGTTGATGTGCCCTTTGGTAGGGTGTATTTGATGATGTTTGGTGGGTGTCCCTGAGATGGGAGGATCATTGGTGGTAATTTGGTGAGTTTATAATAATATAAGAAATAATAGTAATATTGGTGGTGGTATTAATATTATTATTATTATTATTATTATTATTATTATTATTATTATTATTATTATTATTATTATTATTATATTTATGATTATTATTAATATTTGTAGTAATATTATTAATATGGAGAATATAATATTATTATTAATATAGTTATTATATTATTATGATTTTTGGTATGAATATGATAATATAATGAATAATAGTAATATTGGTGGGGGTATTATTATTATTATTATTATTATATTATTATATTTATTAGTATTATTAATATTATTATTATTTTGGTGAGATAATAATATTATTACTATTATTATTATTATTATTTTGGTGAGATAATAATAATATTATTATTATTATTATTATTATTAATAGTATTATTATGATTAGTATTATTAATATTAGTAATATTATATTAGTATTATTAATATTAAGATTATTATTATTAATATTATTTTATTATTAGTATTAATATAATTGTTATTATTATCATTAGTATTATTATTATTATAATTATAATTATTATTGGGTGTATTACTATTATTATTATTATGTTGAATATTACTATAATATTATAATAGTATTATATTATATTATTATTATAATTATTATATTAGAATTATTATTGAGAATATTAGTGGTTGAAATAAGTAAAATAAGAGGTGGAAGGGTTATTGGGAAGTTAGAATGGAAATATGAAAAGTCATGATAGAAACCGGAAGGAAATATGAAGGGGTAGCAAGGAGATATTAGAAAAGTTGGAATAGAGAGAGAAGGGATTACCATAGATCGTGGGAAATTGGTGTGATAATAATAATATTATTATTATTATTATTATTATTATTATTATTATTATTATTATTATTATTATTATTATTATGTTATTTTTATTAGTTATTATTATTATTGGGATAGGAAATAAAAACGAAAATAGAATATGAAGGGGTGGGGGAAGTATTAGAGAAAATAACACGATAGAAAGAGAGAAGAGGAAAGAATGAGAGAAGTGAGAAGAACGAAGGAGAAAGGGAACGAAGAACGGAAAGAAAAGAGGAGGCCAAGAGACCAAATCCAGGAAGAATTTTATCGATCAACTGATTAACAAGGTAAGGGGGGAGAAACTTGATTGGGAATGGTATATACATGTATAGGGTAGTGGGGATTCCTTAACCCCGTAGGAATGTATCGTTGATGAAGTTTTATATTGACATGCTATTGATTGTTGAGTTATGTTGATGTTGATGGATTGAAATATGTTGAGTGTTGGTGAATTGTTGTTTTTGGTTAATTTGGCGTATAGGTTGGGTTTACGGTTTTAGGGAAGTTCTGTGTGACCTTTTTGATGTGTCGATAGATTGTTTAAGTGATGACTTTGGAATAATATGTATATGATGATGTATGGATGTTTGATGTTGCCATTGTTGATTGACTGTTGGTGTTGGTTTGGTTTGAGTAAGGTTCAGAGTAACTCTAAAGTGCCGGTAGTGTGCCGTAATGTTGATCTGGAGTAGAATTATAGGAAGATTGATAAGCCTAATATGCATTGGTCGTAATACGGATAGTATAGGAAGTGGATGTTATAGAATAGGCTTGAATCGGAGAAGAGTGAGAATTCTGAACTGTGAGAACTTGAGAAGTCGCAGGCAACTCGCTAGCACTTCGCTTAGCAAGAAGGCAGCGAGCGTTCGCTAGGTGCTCGCCTAGCGAGTGAGTCCAGTAGGTTCTGTTTGCCTTCGCGAGGAGGTTCGCTAAGCGAACAGGTAGCGAGTATTCGCTGGGTATTCGCTGTGGCGAGTTGGATAGCGAATCATTACAGTAGCCACTGCTGTCATTCGCGAGGAGGTTCGCTAAGCGAATAGGTAGCGAGCATTCGCTGGGAGCTCGCCTAACGAGGGTGTAGCGAGCGTAGCAGAATGGGGTTTTTCTATGCTGTTATGCTGTGTGCGCTAAGAGTGTAGTGCCCTTGGACTTTGTTGATTATAGGGGAGATGATTGAGTGTTATAGAGTGAGTACTCGGTGATAGTATGTGATTTCCGTTACTAATTATTTAAATGGATAATTAGTTGGTGTATGAATCATGCGGAGCATGGTGTAGTGATCAGTAGGATCGTGTATTCCCGAGTGGTGGGACGTGTTTATATCTTGGTGATAAAGTATGAACTTGTTTACTTGGTGATGGTACTCGTTTTCCTTGATATTGTTGGTGAACAATTGGTTAACGTATATGTATGTAGTGATCAGTAGGATCGTGTGTTTCCGGGTGTTGGGATGTGGTTATATATGGTGTTATAGTATGAATTTATTTACTATCTGATTGATTTATATGGTGTTGGTGTAATATATCTACACATATATGCATTGATGTATGATGATATGATCAGGAGGATCGTGTGCACTTAGTGTGCCTAAATATGATAGTTATGCATTGGTGTGTGCATATCATGGTGTTTTGGTGGGATGAATCATGTATCAGGAGGAGCGTAAGTGATTCATCCGTACTCCTTGGTGGAGAATGGTGGGGGATAGATCATGTCTCAGGAGGAGCGTAAGTGATCTATCCAGGTTCGATTGAATGAACCAATGAGTCGGTACCGCATGCATGGTGTTGAGTTGCATATTTGCATTATAATATGTTATATTGTAATTTGAACAGTAGGTTCGTTATATGGAGTTGTTGGGGTGAATATTGGTGTGTTGGTGTGTTTTACTACCTTGTTTACATGTATTACATTACCAATATATTTTTGATCATGTTTTCTCACCCCTTGGTTGTTGTTGTGCCTGTGCTTCTCCGGAAGTACAGATAATCCAGGTACTTAGATAGTTTGGATGGTGGTGTGCCAGTCGAGTCTAGGATGCTCTGATACGTAACACGGGATATGGGTGTTTTAATTGTTTTATGTCAAACTTGTTGTAATCCTGTGACGTATCACTTTTTTTTTGTGAATTATAATAATAAAGATTTTACGAAATTTGGCGGATGGCCGAGAATGTTGGAATAATGTTTTCCGCTGTATTATTTTTGAGAATAATT